TAACAACGACCAAGATCAGACACAAAAATCACATGAACTTGATAACTTCATAACACTACAACAACAATTACAACACCCTCAAACACTAACTATTCACCATTTCTCACGGTCTATAACATCATCCAACCCATCAACCCCAACTCCCTCTTCAAATTATACACCTTCCCAAAACCCGACTTCCTCATCAACCCCATCTTCTAGTACAAACCGCGCTTACCGAACCTTTGAGAGAAAATTCCCAAATACTGCATTCCCATCTAACCCAGGAACATCCAGCACATTTGTCAATCATCCACTTTACATTAATACAAAATAATTTTTACAAAAATGTCTACCCTTTTTCCCACTACACACATACTTCCATTCAGACCCCAATGATGAGAAATACAATTATGTAAACGAGCATGTATTATACCCTACACTTTCATGGACATCTAATTACCACTTTATTAATCCACTATCACTACCACTATATAACAACCCTTATGATAATGAAGCATGCAGCACCCAACTCTATCTTCTAACAACAGCACTAGTCCTAAAACAAATAACGCAAATAGGATACAGACAATCACTAACCAAATTCACTGCACCTAAATCTAATGATTTTTTTTTTCAATTATTACGATCATAACATCAAACGACCTAATGATGACATCTTTCTAAACAACGACCCATTTTCTAACCCTCAACTAACTGGAAAATTTTTCATCAAGACCCCATACACCTTCAACATCAACATCTTACACAAAAACACGAAAACGTCATCTCAGCAGCACTACGTAATATTCATGCTTATGATTCATACTTTAACAATTTTATCCACTTTTCACTAACCTTTCATTTCTTCACACCCAAAGAATGTGATTTGCACTGTTCACACGAAGTCATGTTACGAACTAAACAAACACACACGTACATTTATTACAAGTTCATTCAACACCATTACACTCTCAATACACCAGCACGACAACCGCACCATAGATATCAATACATTAACTCTAAATACAAATCACCATTTTTTCTTAACATCACCTATTGTATTAAGGACACTAACTTACAAGGCACCCTCTGAAATTACGATCCTATCACCCAGATGTATATCTTTTGTCCCCTAACCAAACTCCTAAATGTAGACGAATCCCGTCCACTAATTGTCCCTCATGAATTCCTCCAGCCCGTTGAAGCCCCAATCCTAGAACTCATATATAACAATCGCTATAATCACAAACTATATAACCTTATTCAAAACACACCGTATGAACAATCACCTAACATTGAAGAGCACAACATCATGAAAGCACTCAAATTGCTTTGGCCACTTCTGCAAACTAAACACATCATTCGTTTGCTAGCTAAACTACTAACCTCATCTGATATCATCCACGATGTTTTGCCCCATGGCTTCTTCACCGACGATTAGGTAATATAAATTCAATATTTTACTAATAACTTCAAACAACACCAACCATTCTTATTCAATGTTTTCTTTTTCTCTTCATAGGCCGAATCATCGACCATCTACAAAACAAAAAGCCAAATAAGAAACAGAAACTTTTTTCATCAAATCTTCAATTTCTATTAATCTATCCAATATTTGACGCAATAAAGTTATCCCATACCCAGCAGTAAATTAATATATAAATTTTTTTCCCCAAAGCAGTAAATATTCATACAATTGAAAATAAATTAATAATTTTGACCCCTAAATCAAGCAGTAAATTTAATAATTTTGAAGTAGTAAAATAATAAAAATTGTTCATAAATTGCGGAAGGCAGTACTAACCTTTTTCGAGACGCTTCTTTATATTCTGTCGCCCATAGATTCTATCCAAATTCGCACTGCTCGCCCACAAAGAATTCTTTAAAACTTTCAACTTTCACTGATAACAACTCAAACAAGCTTTAACACGTTTCAAACTTTCCTTTAATCCGGTTGGAAAAGAATTATATAAAAATCCAAATTAACCAACGCAAGCATAATTATCACTATAAACCACAAGCTAACAGCATGACTAAGTAAAGAAAACCCACAGTACCCAAACTGGATTAACGCCAGCTTAAAACTAGATAAATTAATCTTTTGAAGACTACTTTTAATTTAAGTTTGAGCACAAAAGAACAAAACACCAAAAAGTCGAAAGTCAAACCCAAAACCAACAATTTGATTTTTGAGAAAAAGACATAACTAAGACAACAAAAGAAAACACTAGTAATAAAAAAATTGCATGAAAGGTTGAACAAAAAAAGAACCCTCCAAAAAGAGAGCAAGAAATTATACCGTCATCTCTGGCCGTCCTGAGCATGCTCTATAGCCGGCCTCACGCACCGTGCTACATCCACGCGTTGTGACACCCACGACACTATTTTGACGGGAGTTACTCAAGTGTGAGTTGCTCTTAAAAATAACCGAACTAAATAGTAACGCTTTTGCGATAAACACTAATACAAGATCATGACTAAAAAACAAGATTAACATCGATTTATTTATGTAAATAAGACAATGCAACATATAGATTACAAACAGCCCAAAGACGAGTAGCACGAAACTTGACAACCCAATCACACTCCAATTACGGAATGGCAAAACCCACCTGACATGCTGCCTACAATCACTACTGGATTTAAAGTACGATTTGGCATCGCAGCAAAAGAAATCTATTGCAACAGAACAATGGCCATCTCGTTGTTCAAGTTTACGTACAGATCCAAGTCACCAGGCACTGCATCCAGAGTCGAACTACATGCCGCTCCCAGACGAGATTGAGAATAGCAGCGTTCCTATCAACCAGATCAATACTCATCGCAATCGATCAGAACCCCGAACACGATCTCCCGAAACTGCCGTGATACATCTCTTCTTCCAAACCAGATAAAAAAGAATATGCTCGCAACCTCTAAAAAAAAATCGCCATCATCCATCCTACACTACAATAAGAACATTGAAAAACTGAAACTCTCTAAACCCCGGATGGGTGGAACCAGATCTAAACTAGTGTTTAGCATTGGTTATTTTTATGATATTTTATCTCTATAAAGTTTTAAATACTAACCAATCATACTCCATCAAACTAACAACCTATTTATTTGTAAAGTGTTGGAACTACTTGTAGTTTCAACACCAGAGCAATTTGAATTAAACTTAGAATACAGTTGTTCTCATTCTGGAACTAACTCGCGCAAACCGGTGTACACTAGATCTATTGAGACGAGGAGATATAAGAGTAAGATTAAGATCGGTATTAGACGTAGAAGTTGAACGAATCTATCCGGCCGGAAACAAGATAGCGTGACGAGCAGACGGTGTACCATATCTGAAATTACTCTATGAGTCTAGTACTAGATACATAACTCAAGAGTGAATCAGTGGCAAATCATTTTTTTGGCTATTTTGGCTATTCTGGCAGTTTTGGCAAATCATGTTATATATCGATCAAACTTTTATAGTCGCGCTGGCCTATATTCAAACTGAAAGTCGAACTGAGTCAAAAATTAAAGGCGAACTGAATCTAAACATAAATTTGAATTGAATGAAAACCTAACACAGAACTAAGTCGTAGCAAATATCAAAGTTCGGCAAACAATTTAGAGTTGACTGGGGCCTCTAGTCGAACTGAGAACGGGAACTTAGAGCCGACCTGAGTCAAAACATCAAGCCGAACGGACTTACAGATCTTCTTGTCGGACTTTGCTTGCAACATTATTAAAAAGACGCAAATAGTTTTTAACTAGCACTATCATCACCTACTTCAACAGAGGAGTTTACCAAAAAAAACAGTTTATCAGATTTTTTAAATTTGGCAACAAAAAACTACCATCTTCCAAAAAGTTTTTTTTTTTGTCTATGATACGTAGTTTCGTTGTTAAAAATTTCAAAAATGAACCCAATTTTTTCTTTTGATTTGTTACATTCTTGAAACATTTTCACAAAAAAAATTGAGTTTTTTTTCTACGTGCGCTTCACCCTCAAGTTATTAAATTTTGTCTTTGCGATGAGATTTTAAACGTCATTCAAACCTATGGGTTTTTAATATAAGGGTTGCTGTGTTTAGAAAGAAACAAAAAAATGATAAAGTTAAAAGAGGAATAAAAACAAAAACATTTGTGATTTTGTAATTTATGGAATCGCAAGTCACAATGAAACAAAAAAATTGTAAGATACAATGAAACAAAAATTATACAATTCTCAAATATGAACATTTTTTTTTTAAATTTAAAGAATGTATGGCAAGTTTGCATTTTCTGTCAGTCAGGTCGGGCATGGGCATGATCAATGTAATCCGCTTGAATCTCTGCAGTGACTTAAGCGGATTCAACGATCGTGCCCAGTGTAAGCGCAACCAAGCATGCGGTATATGTTCGCCAATATTTTGTATATCGATCAACTATTTTTTTGTGATCGACTGTGGCAGGCGATGATCGGGTTGGTTGAAAACAGTTCTCTTAATTTCGAATCAGACTTGGACTACGTGAGCATCATTAGCTCTTCACATTATAAAAAACAAGTAAGTAGCACAGAATGTTCCAATCACGTTCCAAGTACTCTCGAAATTATACAAATACAGCATGTTCCGATCACACTTGTATTTATACGCAAAGCTTAGTCACTCAACTTCATTCACTTCCAGCTCTCAATGAGTCAAAAACGAAAATAACAAGCTGTTTTTCTCAACACTGATTTTTTTCCGATTTTTTACATGCAGCTCAAATTGCCGGAATAAAAAATTAAATGATAAAGGTTTTATACTTTATCCGTGAAAATTCTTCAACCAGTCAGTGACTTAAAAAGATCAAGATAACTTTTTGACATTAAAAGAAGTCACAAGTTTTTACGTCATCACTTTACAACGTACTGAGATAAAAACTAGTTTGCATCGAAATAATCATGGTTATGGCAAAAGTTGCATTAAATGTTAATGTTGCGTTCCAAATGTTTCCAAACAATTTCTTCAAAGCTTACTGGAAATGATCGAAAAAAAATTGTTACTCATCATTGACTGATGTCAAGTTAGTATCTTAAACAGAAAAAAAAGATCGAAATTGCTTAAAAATATGTGAGATAATTCCTAACATCACGAAATATTTATATTTTTTGCTTATTCAATGAGTAAAAACCCAGTGGGGCGAGGGGGATGCAGTTTTTATCGAATTTTTATAATGGTTTTCTTTAACTTTTATGCTGTAAATAACTAATGTTCTACAAGTTTGTAAATGAAGGCTACTTAGCCAAAACCAACATCAAAATTTTGCCTAAAAACATCACCGTGTTTAGGCGAAATGTCCTAGAAAAACTCTGTTATGGTGTTGCAAATGGTGAAAAACCCTGTCGTCTTTTTGATTTAAACAACTGTCACCAGTGTTTATTTTGGACTGTAACAGACTATTCGGTTGATCTTGATGAATGAGTTCGAGGTTATTTGATTCCAATGAATTGGTTTCAGAGTCTTCCCAAAAGTCAATCCCGTCTTCTTCGTCATCTTCTTCATCTTCGTCGAGCGAACCCCGGGGTGGATCACACCTCGGACTCGGCGACGGATCTCAAGACGACTCGAGCTCCGGAATGAATAGTATTCCCCACAGTCGTCCCAACGCCCCCCAGCCCAAGGGAAAACCCATTCCCAGGAAGAAACTGACAGTGGAAGACCTGTTCGACGCTCGAGGACTCCCGCAATTGGGACTCCTTCGAAATCATATGAAGGAGGAAGGCCGATTGTCGGAGGCCGGGGCACTTAAGATCCTAAGAGACACGACAACATTGCTCACTAAGGTATGTTTCGTAGACTTGAACTTACTTATTGTTTTTTGTTGTATGAACTCCACCTTGAGGAATCAGATTTTTTCGAGTTCATATCAAAACTTTATCGAACTTTTTTCATGAATTGATGCATCGCAGCGGAAAAAGAAATTCAAGCTAACTTTTTTTTAAAATATCATTTACAGTTTATTTTATTTGGAATATGAACGTTTAAAAGACTATGTCATCAAGTTAATGTTTCTGTTTTAGTTTTTTCCGTGATTTTTGATGAAATTGTTTTTCCTAAAAATTAATTAAAAGTAGTTTTGCAGTAATAAATCATAGTGAAGCTTGTCACTGAGAAAAAGTGAACAGATATGAACAATTAATGTTTCACAGTTTTCCTTGACTTCGTACATGCCGTCCTTCGTACCTTGAACTCTAGGTACACAAAACGACTTCAAAGTATAATCTTATAGCACAATTAGTATTTGAGAAAAAAAGAGTGTTAACAGCTATGACCATTGATTCACGAGGAATAACCAACCTACGAGCTATTAGATCTTAGTCACTTCTTCATCGCTCCTCTACAGAGTTTTAGTGAGCTGTCTGTGTTCCAGGAGCCGACTCTGATGGAGATCCCGGCGCCTGTCATCATCTGCGGGGACATCCACGGACAGTACTATGACCTCCTTCGCCTCCTCAAGATAGGGGGCAGTGCCAGTGAACACACCTACTTGTTCCTTGGGGACTACGTGGACAGGGGCATGTTCAGCATAGAGTGTGTGTTACTACTCTATGCCATGAAGATTGCTTATCCTAAACATGTACTCATGCTCAGAGGTAGATTTTTTGAAATATATTAATAAATTTGCCTTAATAAAAATAGGCAAAAAAATTCGATTATCTATTGAAATCAATTCATTTGTACCGATTCTCGGGACCTTAAAAATATCAACAAAACTTCTGAGTGGTTTTTTTACATCCGCCTTCTCCTTGCATAAACACCAGATCAGTACCCGATTTAATTGCCAAAACTCTAATCTGGTTTATTTGTTTCTAGGAAACCACGAATGCAGGCATCTCACTAAAGTGTTCACCTTTAAAGAGGAATGTCTGGCTAAGTATTCTGAGACAGTGTACAAGGCATGTATGGAATCTTTCGACGCCTTACCTCTTGCGGCCATAGTGAACAAACAGTTTTTCTGTGTACATGGCGGACTGTCTCCGAGGATTAAAAAAGTGGCTGAGATACACAAAATTGACAGATTTAAGGAACCCAACAGAAAAGGTAAGCTTGCTCTTCCAGAAGGTTTAAAGTATGGTTCGCCTTCCCTCCGGTTAACTGTCTTCCTAAACCAGTTACCTCCTTGGCTGAACGGGTTTGACAGTGGGGCTCGCTGGAGGTTTCTGTCTGTTTTATCCGAAGGGTCGCTTTCAAACCCTCTATTGTCCGATGCTATGTTTTCCATATAACCATCCTCAAACGCGTCGTCTGCTCCCCAGTCTTGTGCTCTATCCTTTGATAGTATTGACTTCCCCTTATCTAAACTAATCGCGTGAGAGACCGAAGACTTCCAAAACGTGTTGGGGGATCTAATAAAATGTCTTGCAAAAGGAGAGCATCCAATGGATGATTGTTTCGTCAAACGAATATTCCAAATGATTTTATCAATAGACGTGTTTAAAGATGATTTTGGTTCGTTAAACGACATTGCTAGAAGTTTAGCTTTAACAGTGTAAATGAATCGTTCTACTGCTCCGTTGGATCTGTGATCACCAACAGTACATAAAACTAATTTAATATTGTTCTTCTCGCAGACGTTTCTAAAATTGAAAGAAGTAAAACATGACCCATGGTCGGCTCTAATAGATTTTGGAAATCCGTGAAGGTGGCAATAATCTGTCATGAAAGATAAAATTGAATTAGCCGAGGTGTTGTTCATTACTTTTGCTGACGGGAACTTTGAGAAGCGGTCGATGCATAGCAAAAGATATTTCGAGTTACCCCAATTTTTGTCCAATGGACCCGCAAAGTCTAAATCTACTTCTTCGTTTGGTTCGGTCAGAATTGGTAATTTCTCCGTATTTTTTCGTCCCTAGTATCACTTTTAGATTATACCGGCCTTGATGCACTGGATGCAATTTTTCCCGTGATAGTAAATCTCCCGGTATAGATGTGGCCACCAAATATTCTCTGCAAAGGATTTCATCCCAAACTGTCCTGGGTGTGTTTCATGCAGTAATGACAGGAATGGCGACCTTAGAGCTGCTCGTATTATCAATTTGTTATCGTTAAATAACACTCCTTCTTTAACGTGAATGTCTCTCTGAAAGTTCTTTTGGTAGGCTCCGAATTTATCCAGTGGTCTGCCTTCCTCTACTGCCTTCTTCACCTCCTTTAGGATTTTGTCTCTTCCGACATCAGTTTTATTAGCTTGTTTGAGCAATGATCTGTAAGGGATAGCGGAATGTATGGTAATTTGAGATCTCCCTTATATTTGGCCAGTAGTTTCTTGTGTAAATCTGACATTGTATCGTTATTGAAGTTCAACGAAATTCCTTTATTTTCTGCCCTAAGGGAAAATTTTAGCAAGTTAACCGATGTAATGATTTCTTGTGACTGTTTTCTTTTTGATCTGAACGACTGATTAATTGAAAGTATTGACTGGGCAAGAAAAAATAAAAAGATTTTATCTGATAAATCAAAAAAATTGAAATCAAACTTTGATAAATTTAGTGGAACGCAACCGCTTGTACAAGACTCTGAACGTGAGTGATTGGAATTACAAATTATAACTGTGCTGTTTACGTAGTTCAGAATATTCGAGAAGAACGACCGTTGGATGCTAAGCGATAATTCTTTCTTTCCACCCATTGGATTATTACAATCCAAGTTACTGATCGTGTTTACATCCACTGGATTATACAATTCGTTCTTTTTACAATTATTCTTTTTACAATCACTATTTACAGAGAGGTTTTCTACAATCTTTTGTACTGTAGTCACTACAAATTCGCTATAATAGTGAGAGGTTGTGAGAGCTTTTACTGAAGGTAATCCGACAATAAATCTGTAAATCCCATTTCTTTTCCCGGTATGTGTTTGATCTTGAAATTGAATAGTAAAAGTCGGTTTACCCAACGGGTTAGTGTGTTGTGCATAGTTTTGTTACTCTCATTTGCATTTAGTGCTGAAAGCAATGCCTTATGGTCCGTTACGATTTCGAAGTCAGTGCCATACAAGTAATTTTTATAATGCTCCATCGCCCAGACTTCTCCCAACAATTCAAGTTCATTAGTCGAATATTTACTTTTGTGATTATTTAAAAATCGGGATGCAAATGCTATTGTTAACCAATTCTCCCCATCCCATTGTTCTAGGGTGGTTCCCAGACTGCTATGAGAAGCGTCTATCTTAAGTCTTGACATCCTTTTTATGTCAAAATGGTTGTTCTCTGTGATGTTAACTATCTGTTGTTTTAGTTCTTCAAACGTCTTCGTATGCTAGTCGTTCCATTGGTACACTGATTTCTTTACGAGAAGTGGTCGTAAGGGGGAACTTATAGATGACAAGTTCGGGACGAATTTCATATACTGATTGATTGATCCAAGGAATGACCTTAGTTCGGAAATGTTTTTGGGATTTGGTAGGCTTTTCATCGAACCTGATTTTCCCACCAGTGGTTTTACGCCCGAATTCGATATCTTGAAACCCAGCCATTCTATTTCTACTTGGAAAAATGCACTTTTCTCCAATTTTACCGCCATATTCTTGTTGTCCAAAATGTTTAAATTTTTTGATAATATCGCTTACTGTTTATTTAATGATCCTTTCGAAGCTTTTAAAATGTCGTCTATATAACAATTAGTAAAAAGAATATCTTTTAATAAAAAATCTATCACCCTCTAGAATTCGTTTGGCATATCGCCCAGTCCGTAAAATCCCGTTAAAAACCTATACGTCCCGGTGGTTTCGCCCCCCACAATACTAAAGTTACACTGTTTGCTGGTGTCTGTACATAATTGAAGTTGACTGTACGCATTTTTTAGATCTAGCTTACTAAACCAAACTTCTCCTGACTTTTTACTTGACAGTTAGAGCGCTATGTAGTCTATCAGTTCATGTATGTTTGGCATTTGATATTTGTTCTTGAATATCTGGTTATTTAATAGTTTCGAGTCTAATGCCAACTTGATGCTACCGTCTTCTTTTCTTATAATCACTATTGGACTTATGAAACAATCTTCACCGCATTTGTTTAGCTTCACAATATGCCCCTCTTTTTCCATTCTATTTAGTTCCATCTTTAAGTTATCTAGTAAATGCAGGGGAACTCTTCTACCTTTGGTTTGGATAGGTTTGAATGGAGAGTGAAAATGTGTAATTTTTCTGTCCGATGGTTTTTTCCCAACTCTGTTCCCAAATCCTTTGTACTTATGATACAGATTAAGGATTGTGTCTGAATTACTGTTTAACTTACACAACTCTGGGCGTGATATGTTGTTGACGGGTAGTAGAGGCTGTCGTTGAGCTATCTTGATTCCAATTCTCGGTAGGTTGTCGTTTCCCAGGATGTTCCTTTCATGTCCAGAAGTGATAAAAAATGGGATTTCGTCCGCGATCCATCCATTGGATTGTAATCTTACCATCACTTTTCCAATGATGTTGATTGTGTCGTTGGTAAACCCGCAGTATAGTTCCCTTGTTTTCTTCTCTACCGGGTGTATTTTCAATTGTGGATTTCTCAACTTCAATTCGTGTAGGACGTTTTGCTTCAGGAAGCTCACTGGGCTTGCAGAATCCACTGGAATGTTCAAGTTAACTATCGCATCGTCTCCCAGTCCAATGTTGACTAATTTCTTGGTTTCCAAGCCATTGGTATCGTACATTGTTCTGATGTTAAGAACAGAATAGTTATCGTTGTCGCTTGTCCCCTCTTCGGTCCACGCGTTGATCACTCCGCAAAAAATCTCATTGCTTCTTGCCTGAAGGTCTTCTGGGGAATATGAACAACTCTGACTATTTACAGATTCATCTACAGTATTTACAGCGGTATTTCTTCCTTTCGATTTACATAGTCTTCCAAAATGTCTTTTATATTTACAGATATTACAATCAATTTCTTTCGCCGGACACACATTCAGATGACCCTCGGTAAACGCATAACCTCATTTCATACAAGTATTTGATCTTTCAATGTTCAGGCTTGGTTCTTTTTTACATTATTAAATTTTTTGTACACTCTACCGCTACTTCCTGTCGTGTTGAATGATCTAGTCATATTTGTTAGTTTTAGGTGGATATAGTAGCCTTTTTCGTCGATGATCGCTTGGTTGAGTGCATCCATTGGATTGAGGGTTTCCGAGAGTAGTCTTTCGAAGCCTTACCTCTTGCAGCCATATTGAACAAACAGTTTTTCTGTGTACATGGCGGACTGTCTCCGAGGATTAAAAAAGTGGCTGAGATACACAAAATTGACAGATTTAAGGAACCCATCAGAAAAGGTAAGCTTGCTCTTCCAGAAGGTTTAAATTATGGTTCGCCTTCCCTCCGGTTAATTGTCTTCCTTGGCTGAACGGGTTTGACAGTGGAGCTCGCAGGAGGTTTCTGTCTGTTTTATCTGAAGGGTCGCTCTCAAACCCTCTATTTTCCGATGCTCTGTTTTCCATATAGCCATCCTCAAACGCGTCGTCTGCTCCCCAGTCTTGTGCTCTATCCTTTGATAGTATTGACTTCCCCTTATCTAAACTAATCGCGTGAGAGACCGGAGATTTCCAAAACGTGTTGGGGGATCTATTAAAATGTCTTGCAAAAGGAGAGCATCCAATGGATGATTGTTTCGTCAAACGAATATTCCAAATGATTTTATCAATAGACGTGTTCAAAGATGGTTTTGGTTCGTTAAACGACATTGCCAGAAGTTTAGCTTTAACAGTGTAAATGAATCGTTCTACTGCTCCGTTGGATCTGTGATCACCAACAGTAGTAGTATATGAGTGAGCAAGAGTGGGGGGGGGGGGTTGGTGGGAGACCCCCATGTATTAAGATAGGGAATAGAACATCCGGTCTCCCAGCTATGTATTAAGATTGGGTATAGAGTCTACAATGTATTAAGGTAGGGAATAGGTTTCCCATGTATTAAGATGGTAGGTTTCAGATGACAAGTTTCAGAAAAATTTTTGGCGCCCGATTTTACCATTTTTTAAGATTCTCTACACCAATGCGATAGGTTTTAGATTTTTTCATTGTATTAAGATATGATTTTTATTTTGTTTTAAACCATTAGA